CGGCGGTCAGAAGCTGAAGAAGTGAGCCACCTGAAGGAAGACTGCTTAGCGACCCGTACTGCTCCACCACGCAAAGCCACTCAAAACAAGTCAGAGCGTTTGCATGTCATCGGAGCACTCTCTTCCAACTTGCAAGCTGGTGTCACCTCTTCTGGCCGAAGCCTGTCCTCACGGCTCGAGTTCCAAGCGTCCTGAGAGCTGAGATCCCTTGACGGCAACATGGCGGACCCGGGCGGGTTTGAGTTTAGAAGTTTAGATTGTTCTTGTGCTTAGATTTGGCCTCGGTTTTGAGACTCGTCATTGCAAGTGAGGAAGGCGAAGGCGTCGCCTGAACGTTGAGAGCGTGAGAGCAGAGGACCTCGAGGCAAAGTTCAACGAAGCCTCGGACTTGATCTCGAAAGGACCCTCGGACGCATCGCACAAGCCCAACGACCGATCGCTCGAGCAGCTTCTGTCCCGTCCCTCAAACCCGCCACTGCGCAGCTCAAGCTGTCTTGCCTCTCCAAGGAAAGCCGACGAAAGGTTCAGCGACGAACGAAGCAGCTTGCAAAATTAGTGAGCGCAGTCTCTGCAAGGAACACTCAGGTGTCAAGACTTCGAGGTTCTGTGTTGCACTTGGTTTTGGGATTAGAGCTTCAGTGTTTTGGCTGGCCTGGGAAACCAGAACAGCGTTGGTATGTTCACGGCCTGATGAGAGGAAGCCAGGATGAGTTTGTTCCAGCTGCTGCCGAGGACAAGCTAAAGCTTTACGGGCTCTTCAAGCAGGCCGAAGATCCAAGTAGAAGCGACATGAACCTGCCGTCTTGCTATGTGCATCTGCGCAAGGCGAAGGAAGGCGACAACACCGCCTCCGCCCCCTGGTCAGTCCAGTGGGAGACGAAGGCGAAGTTCGATGACCCTTGGCTAGAGACGGGAAGCTTCGGAGCAGTGTAGCAGGGCTTGCGGGGTCAGCTTTGATGTCGAAGTCTGCGCCTTGCGCGCAAGCTGTTGCTATCAGAGCCGTCAGGTCCTCGCCTTTGCCACCAAAGCATCGGAACATGTGAAAGGAGACCCTTCTTGCACCAAGGCTTGGGAGAAGAACAAGGGAAAGTCCAAGGAAGCAGCTGCACGGACTGCACCCAGGGGGGTTCTGAGGTTTCCACCACACTCGCTGTGCCCATTCAAGGCAGGGGTGCCGCTTTGGTTCTGGATAGGGTCAAACAACGTGAACGCAGTTTGCACATATGGAGTTCCTGCTTGGTAAGAACGGCTGGTCATGGGTTTGCAACAGTTGCCGTGGCCACAAACTGGAACCCCTTGCCTTCGCACCTCGAGGTTACCTGGCCGTTTGCCCATGTTTAGGTCTAGTTTCTGGAAGAAGCAGTTGTAGGCTCAGGCTATAGCTTACTGAGCGATCTATCTTCATGGAGGAGCGGTTGCGAGTCGCTGCCCAAGGCACCGAGATGGTGAGAGATGCCGGTGAGGCCACACAGGAGGAGAAGAGAAGAAGGCTTACGGAGATGGGCTTGCGGAGTGGCTTCCATGTGCAGGTGTTGTCGGCGGCAGCTGGAGACGCAGCAGACGAGGATACAGCAAGAGCCTTGACAACCCAACAGATCGATGACCACGTGACTTCACCGTCAGTCAGCGGGGGAGCGCAGGGCGACCTCACTCCTCTGTACAGTCTGAGCGATTCTCAGCGAACAGAGCCTGGAGTTCTTCCGGAGCTTAAGAATGTGGGATCTGGTGTGAAACAGGAAGAGGCAGCTCCTGCAGCAGCTCCTGAGCCGATGCAAATGGTTGCAGCAGTGCCCGGTGCGCCCTTGGTGAAGGTCGAGGCCATGGAAAGGGCCCTAGGACTTCTGGCCGCTGCCGCATGCAATTTGGCAGCGGGCATCGTAGCACAGCAACTGACTGCAGCGCATGAGCGAGTGCTGGAGCGAGTCGAGAAGAAACACGAGCAGGAGAAAGTCGAGGCGGAGAGGAGGCACGAGAAAGAGCTCGCCATGGCAGTGCGACTGGCAAAAGCAGAAGCGGAGAACCAGCTTCTGAGGAGTCAGGACACCGGACTCATGCAGACAGTGACACAGGCGGCTGAGACAGCTACAGCTGTAGAGATAAAAGAAGAAGGGGAAGCAGAGCAACAGGACATGGCGGACATGCGGTTGCAGCTGTGCCGCATCTCGCAGCACCCACCGTTCAAGGTGTTTCAGGTGATCTGTCATGTAGCTTATGCGCAGGTCGATGATGGGCCTAACTTGCCAGTGGCCGTGGAAAAGCAATTTGCCCAGCTACAGGGTGAGCGGAATCTTAGAGCACCTCTTCCAGGACCGGCGTCGGAGCTCTTGGATTTGAGAGCCTCGGAGCTACCGAACTACCTGGAGCTGAACACTTTGGAGAGCCTTGACGTCGAGGCTAGACATTGCTTCCCTAGGCTTCTTCTCAGATTGCATCCCCAAAACTCATGTGGCTCACGACCGTGCCTCTTAGATTGCTCTTCCTCTCAAATTGCTGTTCCTCTCAGATTGCTTCTTCTCAAATTGCCGTGCCTCTCAGATTACTGCGCCTCTCAGAGTCTCAGATTGCCGTGCCTCTCAGATTGCTCTTCCTCTCACATTGCTGCTCCTCTCAAATGGCTTCTTTTCAAACTGCCGTTCCTCTCAGATTGCTGTGCTTCTCAGGTTGCCAGCTCTGTTTTCTCGCAGTCCTCGCCTGCCAGGTGCCGCGCAAACCCTGGCCGAAGCTTATCAGCTTCTCCCCTGGCGGGTCCCCGACCTCACTGGCATCGACAACTTTCGAAATCTTCGATACCGCCTCGGTTCCACGTTGTCACTCTTGCGAAAGGAAGGCTTCATGAAACTCGTGGCACCGAAGCTGGCCCGCTTGCTGGGCTCCAGCAGCAATTTGGGATTTTGACACCTACTTGCAACTCGAATGGGTTTGCATGGCCAGATGGTCTCTGCATGCATGGAAGTATGAACAGGTCGCGCATGGTGAAATGCCTCGCGTCACCCTGAGTTGCTGGAGTTGGACGCAGTCTAGACCTCGAGGAAAGGCAAAGAGGACTGCCTCCCCAAGTTCATCGAATGCTACAAACCAGCAACTCTTGAGAAGCTCCTCGACATGGTGCATCAGGTTGCATCTCTAGATCATGAGCAAATCCAGACTACAATTCACCAGAACGGGGAATGGTGGCGACTCTCATACGGTGAGATCCTGAACCGCCAGCTTCCCGGAAGCTAGAGGACTACACGATCCAGAATCAACAGCAGTGGGCGGAAATCCAGCACCCCTGTTTCGAAACCGACCCGAAGAACGCGGACTTCTTCCGGCTCAGCCGTGGCAAGAAGTTCCGCGCGTACTCTAGGAACCTGAAGAAGATCTACGAGGAAGGCGACGAGCGGCGCAGGGGCAATTTCGTGTGGCCTATGTACCTTGGCAAATTCAAGGAAGGGACCTGCCCTCGGACATGCAGAAGCCGGTGTTGGAGCATCTGAAGTTACAGCATCTCATGAGGCGCCGCCTGCTGGGCCCAATCATGAGGCGCCGCCAGTTGAGCCCAAGCCGGCGACGGCCCGCGGCTACTCATGGACGCTGCAGGCAAGGTGGGATTGTACTAAATTTTAGGCTTTACCATGGCTCCTGAGGCGTCTCAACCTGACCACGACACTGGTGAGTTTTTTCACTGCATGGCTTGTGCAGCGCGCCTCACTCCTCTGTACAGTCAGAACTTCTTGCGTGTGACAAAGAACTCATGACAGAGAGGTTACGACCCTTGGCCCGGCATTAAATCGCGGGTGCCTTTCTGCTAACGTCGCTAGGACAAACCGCAGGATCTTCAGCCCAGGCTAGGTCTTACAGTTGCGGCAAGCATTCAGACTGCTAGGTTTCTCTCGGCATTCGGCGCAGTATTGTCCGAGGCGATGACCGAATACATCGCCGAGGTGGAGGTGCAGAAGCTTGACAGAACAAATGCCCACAAAGGCACGGGGGCAACTTCGTCCCAAGCCCATACTTTCAGCCAAGGAAAGAGAAGTTTGGCATCCTTCCTCCCTGAGCGGGAGGCTCAGGGACTGGTGTTTTTTTGGGGACACGGCCGTGCCGGTACAGTACGGGACTCAAGCTCGAAATGTCGAATGGTCGAAAGCGCGAGCGCACACTGCTGACAGCATAGACATTTTGTTCTTGCGTGCTAGCGTCTTCCATTTAGCGGTTGCAAGCCAGACCTCGACGCGCAGCGACGCGCCAGGCCCAGGTCTCGTCAAGAACCGCGACTTGAACGCAATGAAGGTTGCCAACGAGGACCATGAAGATGATGTCCCCAGCAAGGCCATTCGAACTCGAAGGTTCGACACTTTGAACTTTGAAGGTGTGAACGGTGCCAAAACTCGAAAGTTTAGCCACATTGCCGTGTGCAAGTGAGCGGGCATCAAAAGTCGCTGAAAAAACGAACCCCTCAACGAACAAGCGTTCGAACTTTCCAGCTCGGCTAGCAGCCACGGCCGAGTTCGATCAGCTGTCGATGTTCGAAGGTTTCGAGTTTGAATCGGTTGGCTCCAAGTTCGGCCTGCGGCTCGCTGCTGAAGTCGAGAGTTTGGCAGTTCCAAAATTGCAACTTCCGAGACGTTGGGAGTTCGAAGGACTGCAAGCTTGGACCGTTCTGGTGCTTGACAATCCGCCGAGTTCCGACTTTGAAAGATTGAGAATTCGACAAATTGAATGTTGGAAGCTATGAAAGATAGAGCGCCCACAGTTCGCTCCATATCTTAAATTCGTCGCTCAGTGGGCGATGGCGCTTGGTTTCATAACATTTGAAACGCCTCACCTCATTAGGCGAGCGAAAACCTTCGTCTTTTGAAGCCCCACATTCGGAGATGGTAGTTGATCCCATACCCTCCACACCAAAGCAAACCCGGCCCCTCATTGGGCACAAAGGCGATGGCAGCTGATCCCATATCTTAAACCTGCCCCGTCATTGGAATTCAGGTACATATGACCTTACTTCAAGTATGATGTTGTTGAGGGTTTGGTTTCTTCAGGCACCAGTAAGAAATCACCCTGGATGCCAGACAACACACACACACAGACAAACCCTCAAATTTCGCACAGTCAAGCTCATTCTTCGAAGTTTCACTCTGAAAAAATTGAAGCGTCGAAGTCTCAATCTCCATAACTTTCAAGATTTCGAATCTGGAGAAGTTCTGAAACATTTAACAATTGACCTTTCAAGCTCCACCTCTCAAAGCTTGTCTGTCTCGACCCTACCAGACACGGATTGTGGATCCGCAACCGCCACGAGCGCGTCAAAAAAGAGAAACGCTTCAGCTCCGTCCAAACGCGGCGCGATGGCGTCGCCACATTCCCGTTCGGGTTCCCGTTCCAACGCGTTTCCAACCTTCAAACTCCAAGCTGGAGCGCGTTTCCCAAACCAAATGGACGGCGCAAAGACTTGCAGGAAAAGTCCCACTAAAGCAGCGCCAAACATCAATCGTCTGAGGCACAGCTCCTCTGCTGCTCGATCGCGGAGCATTTCCTGAGCTTTGTAGCTGGCCTTTGCCAGCCCGACAGGTTTTGAGGACATGTCGGGGTGTCAAGGTTGGCATAAGACCCTATGCACCAGACCACACAGGCTCAGTCATATCTTCAGAGGCTGGTGCCACACTGAATCCCCTTTAAGCCCCCAGCTGCTTGCTGGAGGTTCCAAAAATGTAGGAGACATTGTAGCTTCAGCGATAAGTTCTGCTGCCTTTGGGCCGCGGGCCTTACGCCTTACAGTCCTGCTTGAAGTGTAGGGCCCCTCTGCAGCACCCGTCACCCTGGCTAGTCGAAATTCGGCATCATCCTTCAAGCTCGAAAGAGTATAGTATCGTAGCCTCCAAGTTTATTTGTCTACGGCTCGCGCTCACCAGCTTAAGGTAGGCCACGCGGCTAAGCTACTGAAGCCCAAGTGACAGGTCACTGCCAGAGGGCCCTGCCCTGCAGCGGAGTGCTGGTCCGAAGGACACACTCCGAACGAACTCCCATGCCACCAGCGGCTGGCGGACAGGAAAAGATGTTCAGCTTTCCTTGCGCCTCGACGTTGGTGCCTGCTGGGCATTCGAACAGAGCACTTGTGCACACCAATTTTTCAGGATCGGAGGTACTAGTGTAGGCTAACTTAGAGCCATGGGCCGCGTCATCCGCGGCTCGCG